GGAGCTCCATTTGTTCATGGAACCAAATGCAAAACATCTTCTGTGGTGATACAGAATCTTGGAGCCACCCTTCCTTCCCTGAGCCAGTCTTGTGCATTGGTCAATCCAATCACACATCTTGTCTTCCCAGGGAGAAAGAAAAAGTAAATCTCCAGCCGCAGAACATACAGCTGTGTAACATAAAAATAACTGGGAGGTATGGGGAATGGAGAGGGATATAGGCTGAGGAACTTTGCAACCAACTACAGCTTTGTATTTTCTGGAGGCACTATTCCCAGCACCCTACTTGGGTTAAAGGTCCAGCATCTTATTTGGAGGTCAGGAATGATTTCAGGGTCTCATTATGTAGTTTAAATTGGTCTGGGCTGGGGATTTAGCTCAGTGGTTCTGCTGCCTGCCTTGCAAGCATAAGGTCCTGAGTTCGATACCCAGTACAAAAAAAAAAAAAAAAAAGCGATGATCCTCCCAGCAATCCCCTTGTCCACCGGAATTACAGGGTAGGCACACCACCAGGCCCAGCTGCAAGCCATGTTTCTCATCAGCTCCAAGCCCAAGTGAAAGGTCTCAGGAAAGAGTATGGTAAAGAGAAGCACAGTCCAAGTGTTGGAGAATGACAAGAAGTTTTCGGCCTTTTTTGTACAGACTGACCATTGAACATAGTGTGCAGTCACTTCCATCTCAGTAATAAAGCTGTTTACACACACACACACACACACACACAAAAAAAAAAAAAACAAACAAATGAACAAACCCAACTTTATTGGGCTAGGCACAGTGGCCTATGCCTATAAATCTCAGCTTCTGGGTAGTCTGAGGTAGGAGGATCACAAGGTTGAGTCCTGCCTGGGCTACTTTGCAAGATTCTGTCTTAAAAAAAGAAAGTGCTGGGGATATAAGTCAGTGGTAGAGCGTCCCTGTGTTTGATACTCAGTACCGCAATAAATAAACAAGGGCTTTAGATGTAGCTCAGCGAACTCTCTGGGTTCAGTCCTTAACAACACGCGCGCGCACGCGCACACACACACACACACACACACACACACACACGCAAACCTATAATCTCAGCACTCTGGGAGGCTGAAGCAGGAGGAGTTCAAGTTTGAACCCAGCATGGACAGCTTAGCAATTTAGTGAGACCATGTTTCAAAATAAAAAAAATATTAAAAAGTTTAGTGTGAAAGCCCTGGGTTCACCACCCAATACACACACACACACACACACACACACACACACACACACACTTATATTGGAGTAAGATGGAATTTGTTTTCCTCTGAACCATAGGTAAAGCCATGTCCTTGCTGAGCTGGGAGGTACCCACAAAATAAGATTTTTTTATTTTATTGAGTTTATTGGTACTTTTAAAGTATACAGTACAGTTACATTCATCACTGGGATCTTGCACCTTTACATGACAGGTCTTGGTTCTCATTTTTTCCCCATACCCCTCCCCTCCCTTCACCTCCTCACCCTCCCCTATTTACAAAGACTTTGTGTCCATTTTTTCCTTTTCTCATATTTTTCCTTTTCCCTTATTTCCTTTCTCCTACCCTTCCCACTTCCCCTACAGCTTTAGCCCTTTTCTTCCTATCTCACATTATCATTATACAATCTGGATCTTATTTACAATTATAGTTTTTCACACCAGAGAAACTATTTGGTATTTACACATGTGTGTCTCATTTATTTCACTTAAGAGTATGGCCTCAACATCATCCATTTTCCTATGAATGACTCTAGTTTCTCATTCTTTATGGTTGACTAGCATTCCATTTTATAGAAAAGCCACATCTTCTTTATCTGGTCTCTAATTCTGAACAGCCTTTCAATGGTAGTATCAGAGACCTGCCCCCCCTTTCTGAAGGTATTTGGCAGGAATCATATTGATGGGATGCGGAACCTCCTGGCACTGGTTGTGGTATTGCTGCAGCCATGGCCTGAGCTGGGTGGGGGCTTTCCCAGAGATTCTAAAGCATGCTCTCTCTGCAGCAGAATAGTCAGCAAACCCGTGTGGTGGTCCGTGTGGAGGTGGAATCCACACACAGCGGCAAGGGTGCCCAGGACGCTGTCAACTTGATCTCTATAAAGACAGCACAGCTGCCCAAATGTGCCTTCGCCACAGTCCAGGAGCAGAGACTTATCAGGGCTTATGTCAATAAGCATGGCTCTGACATTCTGAATCTTTGTAGGGATGGCAGACCCTGTTCCAAGGAAGGTGATTTCTGGATACTGGCTTTTTTTCTCTGTGGGGTTTGGACCATCCTGTATGCTCTGCCTATATTCCTGCACACTCTCCTAGAAATTGGGAGCTCCTGGGCCTCAGCTATGAATTAATCAGGGATGCACGTAACAATGGCAGCCCTCTGCCAGTCCCTCCTGGGACGGAGCTGGTACTCGAGGAGGCATTCACCCAGGACAGTGGTCACACTGAGGTTCAGGCCTTCCTCCTTCCTGTGGAAACTGGTGGGCAAGGGAAGAATGTCTGGATGGATGAGGTTGAGCTGCATTTGTATCTTGCGGCTGCGAAGGATGTGGACTGACACAGTTCTCATTCGGGATCAAGTGCTGGGTGCCAGGCCCAAACCTCCCCATCCACTTCTGGCACCTGCCGTCCACAGGCACAGGTTCTGGGGCTGTGTGAACCACCACGGCCACAGGGCCATCAGTCTCTCCTTGGTACCTCTTAAGGGTGGTACTGTCACAAATGGGCTGGATGAATCTTTCACCTGGACATTCTACCACAATAAATGCAAGACCAGGATCCAAGGGGCGTGCAGAGCTCTTCAGCCAAAATCTCTCTTCCTTTGGACGTGACACTCTTCCCATCCTTGACAGCAGTGAGGATGGGTGCGATGGCAGCCATCCAAAAGGGGAAGCCCAGTTCTTTTACTTTGAGCACCAAGAAGTCTCTTCTCTTTGACTGAAGCTTACATACAAAAGCAACAGCCAAAGAAGGGTCCCTGCCATTTATTTTCTGGCTAATACCTTTCCAGCAGGGTTTGTTCATACCATTGCCATCTAGAAGGTGCTGCTTACTTTCAGCTGATCCGGAGTTAGAAAGCTGTTCTGGGCTGAGCCTGAGGAGGGACCTTTCTGGGCTCTTCGAGGGCTGGTGGTCTCCACGCCTGCATTCACTGTATATGGGGACTTGGTGAACTGTCATGGTTTCACCTTTGTATTCCGGAGCAGAGTGGGTCTGCACAGCCAGGTCTGTTCCTTTCAATGGGTCCAAAAATATTTTGATTGCTTCCAAGTACTTTTTCAGTTGTGGAGGTCCAGAAAGTGAACACTCTGGAACCCCAGTTTCTTTAAAAGCAAGACTCATTCCACACAGTCCCCCAACGTTCCACCAGTGCATTCGCGTCAGGAACATGTTGTCCAAGAGAGAAACCTTCAGTTTGTGTTCTTGCATGAGTTGATGGACGCCTTCTCCACAGTTGAACAGATAACCAGTGTACTCTGAGAAGACCTATCGCGCAGCGCTAGCATCCTGGCCACTGGCCGCCACTACCTGCGGGTACACGGTGATCGGGGTCCCAGGCTCCAAGGACACGCCACGCTTCTCCCACACGAGCAGGTGTCGCAGCGGGTCCTCGGGCTGCCGCTGGCGCCGGGCGGGTCCTTGAGACATGGTGCGCCTGGCCGCAGACTGCAGCAGTGAGCGGAGAGCCCACAAGCGCTCATCCTTAGCTGGGCTGAGAACACAGCCGGTCACTTCGCCCGCGTGCCCCTAGTACAGTCCCTCAGCTCCGCAAGGGGAGCCCAGCCAATCAGAGAGCCGAGAAACAGGCAGCCCACCTGCGAGAGGCTATGCATTCCCTGGGCCTGAGCTTGAGGGCTCCTCGTCTTGAGAAAATGGCCCCACAGAACTGGGGCACATTTCATTCCTTCTTCCCTTAGTGTCTGTGAAGTCAGGGTGGCTTCTGACCCCAGCCCTCCTGCACATGCTCGGGAAAGACACCTAACACCTGTTTCGGTCTCCATCTCACACCTGTGACTCGGTGACAATAAATGACTGCAGTGTCTGCCTCCGGAGGGTGGGTGGGAGCTGAGAGGCCGAAGTCAAACAGCTCCAAACCTGCGTATGCTGGTGGTTTCTTTCTGTGTTACTGGGGCTTGAACCCAGGGCCTCCGTCATGCTGAGCATGCATTCTCCCAATGAGCCACAGCCCAGCACACAACTGGGGGTTTTAATGTTCCTTAACACAAAATATTTTGTTCCAAAGTAGAGCCCCCCTTCCCTTCCCCAGAGCGATCTCACACCCTGCATGGACCAGCTGGGAGAGGGGCGCCTTTGTTTCCCCATCCCACTCCCCAGCCCTGGGTTGGGAACCACTTCATGGACGGTCTCATGCCCTTGTCCTGGGGTCTCTTCCATCTGTTGCCCTCCTGCTTGGAGACCAGAGTGGTCTCTCTCTCTCTGTCCACCACCTGGCCACAGTGGACACTCTCTCCCAATTTCTTCATGTTCCCAGTTGATGGTTTCACTTGCCTCCTCCCACACATTCCCAAAGGGTCATACTCCGTGGCTGAGGGTTTAGGATTTATCCACATCAGAGGGGAATGTCCTCCAGTGGAATATCAAGTTCCATGTGCTCTACTCAGCATCTGCTCATTAGGTGTTGAATGAATGACTCCTTTGATGCAATAAATGTGCTTTTTTTTTTTTTGTACCAGGGATGAAATTTAGGACCTTGTGCTTGCGAGGCAGGCGCAGTGCCACTGAGCCAAATCCCAGACCCAGCAAAAGTGCTTTTAAGAATCTGTTCTAAAAACAAAAAATTTACTTGCACACATGCATAGCATTCTGTGAACAAGAATGACAGGATCCACCAGGTGTGGTGGTGAGTGCCTGTGATCCCAGCACACAAGGAGACATCATGAGTTCAAGGTCAGATTGGGCTACATAAAGAATTCAAGGCCAGCTTGAACTACATAGCGAGACTCTGTCTCACCCTCGCCCCAGAAAAGAGGATCCAACAACTGGGAAATGTTGCAAATATTTATTGTCAATAACCGATACAAGGTAAATGAAAGCCAAGACTTCTCCATTCACCTTAGTTTAATGAGCAAAGCAGACAGATAACAGGTATTCACAGGGGTACCCCATGGGCTTGTGTACATGCAGAGAATAATCTGGAATTAAGCACCTAGAACTACCCTTGGTAGTCACATCTTTAGCGAGCGATGGGTAGCACAGAGAAGATCAGACAATACTTTTGCTTTAAATAGATGCATGGGCACACAGACAGAAATATGCATGAGGTATATGTGTTACTTGATAACATCTAATATAAAAACTAAACTAAAATGTTAATGTCTAACAGAGGGCCTATCACACAGTAAAAGTAGTGCTAACAATGCTTATCAAACAGTAAGAACAGTGCTAACAGAATGCTTGGCACATAGTAAGACCAAGCTTAATTTTTATCTGCTGTGAACTCTTCTTTTCACTTCCCGTAAACCTGGTGGCCAGGAGTTTACAGCCATGTCCGTGATTGCTGATTGCCAAAAGCCACCAGGTTTTCTCTTCACGGACATCCCTGAGTCTGAGTCAAGGAGAGAGAAGGAAGACAAGTTACAGTGAGCTCGCACCGCTCAGACTTGGCTGCCAGCCCCTCCTCCTGACCTGCGGAACTATAAACTCCCATTCTTTCTGACCCCAGGACCTCTGCTCTTCCAAGCAAGCCCTCTGCTGGGCCACAGTGACTTCCCCACTTGGCCTGTGCATTCCTGGGTTACAGTAAGGTGCGGCCCATACCCCAGGAATGGCCTGGGGTTGGAGAGCCTACAGCATTCAGGTTAAAGAGTAGAAAAAGTGTGGGAAATCTCATTTAGCCTCCGTGTTGCACCTCATGGAACTAGGAGAAGCAGATGATTTGGAGGAACCAGGAACGTGCGGGGTCACAGGAACATAACAGAACAGCACACCTGCAGTGGTGAGGGATCCGTGTCAAAGGGTCACTTACAGACTTAGTTGTCTTCTTCCTCCTCGGGCTCGCTGATCTCTTCATACACCACAAAATTCTTCCGTTCATGCAGCCGGTGGCTCCAGACATTGTCCCCTCTCTTGAAATCTATGATGGAGAAAGGCTGGTAAGTGAGGGTTGGGGACACGGGGAATGTTAGGTCTGCTTTGTCAGAAAAGGAAATGCTTTGCCCTTCCTAGTGCCTGCAGGCTTTCCATGTGCTCTGGTTTTCACATCTCTGGGCTTCCAGAGGCTGAGATTTTAGACCCAAACTAGTAGAGATCAAGTGTCAATTTAGGTGCAAGCATCTGGACTCTCCCACTGTTAGGTTTAAATTCCCAAACTCTTCTCTCTCCAGAACATCCCCTCTCACCCTGTGTCATTCACCATGCATCTGTGAAGGGCACACTGTGTGCCAGGCACTGAGCTGTGAGACACGCTCTCAGGTCACCATGTGGAATCATTACCTGAGCAACTTTCATGTTGTGAGGCCTCTAGATTTAAAAGGTAATGTTTCCTACCAACTTATGAGCCATCATTTTAAATTCCATCGTATGGACTAAGAATCTGGAGCACAGAAAAAATTTTAAATTTATGATGCTGAACATTGAACCCAGAGCCTTTGCACCGAGCTACAACTCTAGCCCTTTTAAATCTTTTTTTTCTTTTCTTTTTACATTTTGAAACAGGCCTCCCAAAGCCACTAAGTTACCCAGGCTGGGCTTGAGTGCATGGTCCTCCTGCCTCAGTTTCCAAGAGTGCTGAGGCCGGGCCAGGGATGTAGCTCAGTGGTGCCGTGCTTGCCTCAAAAGCGCAAGGTCCTGAGTTTGATCCCCAGAAGAAAAAAATAGTGCTGGGGTTACAGGCATGCACCATCATATCCAGCTGGGAAAACTTAGAAGATGTGCCCAAAGTTTAGATGTGTGACAACTCAAGCCTGTGATTCTGAAGTCAGATTCTAACGTCTTAGCTGGTGGTGCTGGGTGAGGTCCTCATCCCAGTTTGGGTCCTGGGACCATGCCACACTCCCAGACCACGCCCTGACAGCCAGGGAAGCCCAAGGGCTTGTTCCTGAGCTGTCACCTCTCACCTGGTATGTTCGGATTTTTCTTCCCAGAGGTGCTTGCTTCTTCTGGGCGGCTTTTCACTCTCCCAGCCTGTTCTTCAGGTGCTCCTGCCACTATCTTCTGATCATTACCTTTGTTTTTTGGCTCCTTTTTAATATCAAGGACACATATAAGCAGTATCAATGACATTTTTTTAGTACTTTAGAACCTATAGTGTCTTTCCATGCTTTTTCTTCTCTTTTTTTTGGGTCCCACTATGTAGCTTAGTCAGTCTGGTCTTGAACTCACTATATAGCCTGAGCTGGCCTCGAACTTGTGGCAGTCTTCCTGCCTCAGCCTCCTGAGTGCTGGGATCATAGGCATGTGCCCCTGCGCCTGGCCTGAATGCTTTACCTTAATTAATGCTGTCATCACCTCTGGGAGATCATAATTTTATCTGTACCCAAAATTTGAGAAACCTGGGAGATTTTAAAAGAAGGGAATGGCCTAACTGAAATGTATTCTCAGGACTAGGATCTGACTCTATGTTGTATCCAGACTGATACTGCAAACAGAAAAAGTATCCATATAATTGAGATTGTGGTACCAGAAGATTTGGGAAACAAAAGCATTCTATACATCTGTGAAAGGAAGGGCTTCTATAAAGCATGGTGGGCCACATGCAGGCTCGTAGCTCGCTAGTGGGAGAGTAAATTTGAACCTGAAAAGAGAGGGCCCGAGTGTTGCTCAAGGTTTGTGCACTTTCCTGGCATGTGTGAGGCCCTAGGGCCCAACCCCGGCATTGCAAACAATATATCTTCATTATTATTTGGAGATAATAATAGAAACAATGTCAGAGGTTTCTTTAATGATTAAATAAATTAATCCATGTGACATGCTTAAAATAACATCTGGCATTACTATGAAAACAAAGTATTGGCAGTCACAACTGTCACTAAGTATTGTTAAGCTGTGGTGGTGGCTCCATCCAGCATTGTGATAAAGCAATGAGGAGGGGCTGGGAGTGTGCTTTAGCGGGAGGGTATATGCTGGGCATGCATGCAGCCCTGGGTTCAAACCCCACCACAAAAAAGGGAGGAAGGAAGGAAGGGAGGGAGGGAGGGAAAAAGAAAGTGAGGAAAAGGAAAGAAAGAAAGAAAAAAGATGAAGAAGCAGGCAGCAAGGACCAGGACATTTAGCTACTCTCCCCCGTAGCAATACTGACATTTAAGGAGAGGAAAGCTGTTAGATTTGGGAGACACTTACCTTTGGACATGTTCCAGTCGTCTCAGGTTCAACTAAAAGAGGGTGAGAAGTCAGAACTTTCCTTCCTTGGTAAACAGTCCATATCATCCTGTAGCTTTACAGGATGCTGCGGCGAAGTTTCAAGAGCACGCACAGTGCAGGAGTAGCTCCTGAATTATCTTTAGTGGGGGCTTTAGCAATTATTTGCAGCTTTCAAAAGTTTCCTTCTAATGATTTATAAAATGTGGACTAAAAGCTGGGCATGGTGATATATGACTGTAATCCCAGCACTCTAGGAGGCTGAGGCAGGAGGATTAAAAGATCAAGCGCAGCCTGCACAACTAAGTGATTTAATGAGTCCTTGACTCAAAATAAAAAATAAAAAGGTGGGCCAGGGATTTAGCTTAGTGGTTTCGCTGCTTGCCTCACAAGCACAAGGTCCTGAGTTCGATTCCCCAGTAATAAACAAACAAACAAAAAATAAAATAAAAAGGTGCTGGGGATGTAGCTCAGTATGAAGGTCCTGGATTCAATCCTCAGTATCAAAAAAAGAGAAAAGAAAAAGAAATCAAAAGAAAAACTAGGGCCAGTGATATACCTTAATGCAAAAGTAGGCCCTGGGTTCAATCTCCAGTACTGAAAAAACAAAACAAAACAAAACAGAAAACTGAAACCCCAAAAAACTGTTGCAGAGACTAAGGCCCTAGATTTTCAGACCTTGTCCAGTGACTGTGAGAGCTTGGGGATCTGGCCTGTTCAGTGAAGTCACTGATCTGTTGGAGAGTTTGGAGATTCTGCCCCCATCTTTTCACAGCTTTTTGGTCAGCAGAAAGGAGCAAGTAAATACCTCTTTCTGAGACTACACATTACTCAGATGCACAGGGACCTCTACTCTAGAACCGATCCCCCCCACCTTTTTTTTTTTTTTTTTTTTTTTTTTACCAGGGATCCAACTCGGATCCTTGTGCTTGGGAGGCAGGCGGTGGAAACACTGAGCTAAATTCCCCGCCCTTGGTTTTGAGACAGGATCTCACTATGTAATTGAAGCTGACCTCAAACTCGTGGTAATCCTCCTGCCTCAGCTTCCCGAGTGCTGCGATTACAGGCAAGTGCCACCACAACCCATTCCTTTTTTACCTTATGATGTCTCTGCTCTCTGAAAAGTGGAAAAGCTTGGTATACAAGTGTGTGCATGTGTGTGTGCGTGTGTATAGGCAGGATCACTCTCTCAAACTCTTTTAACAAGAACCACATATTCTTTAAAAAAGAGAAACATTTCAACATTCAGAAAATGATGAGGAATAATATCAAATCCAGTAGGATCTCAATATTATCCCTCAAGTGCTTCATACTGCTTTATTTCTTTATTCAATATATTTAAAAAACTACAGACAAGTTACTGCTGTACAGCCCCCACCAATTCCTGCCATCCCGCTCCACTTATAGCCCCTTTGCTGAATTTGGTGGCATTTCTTGTCACTCAGACTTTTTAATTTTTAGTTTTTTAGAACAGGGTCTCACTACACAGGCTAGGCTGGTCTTAAACTCCTGCCTCAGCCTCCCAAGGGCTGGGGGTATACATGTGCACCACCATGCCCAGCCTCATTCACTCAGGTTTTTATATATTTGCCATTTACTTATTACTTATCAAATATACATTCTTCTTTTGTATGTTTTAGAGTTTAACATGGATGGCCGCTGCATTTGACCTTCTGCATCAACTCTTTTTCCCCCAGGCTTGATGTGTGTGAGGAAGCAGCAGGACCAAAAAGCAGCCTCCTCCCATCTACTCACCTTTAGTCCCATGGCTGGAAGTTTCACCAGAATTATCCTTAGGGGTTGAATTGTCCTTTTTCTGGTTGTTCCTGAAAGTCGGCAGAAAGGCTCTGAGACCTGGAAAAAGAAAAGTATCAGTTTCTGAGAGGAGGAGGGAAGGGCAGGCTGTAGGAGGTTGTAGGGATTGGAAGGCTCAACAGAGCCATAGCCACCAGAAAGAACTGTGGGGGACACACATTTAAGCTCGTGCTGGCTGGTCCCTGTCCTCAGTCCTGGGACATAAAGGAACAGGACACCCAGAAACAGGCTTGGCATTTATCTCTACACATAAAGAAGTGAGAGGGCACTCACTGTCTCCCGAGAAAGAACTATAGTGTGGGAGAGGCCTGAGCAATGCCCACAGGTCTCCAGGCTTGTCTGCACCCACGATCCATTACCTAGACTAGACATGGTGATGTAGTTTCTTTTCAAATACACCCAGGTGATTTTGTCCGAATAGCTCAGCTTTTCCCACTGGCTCTCAGAAAAGTAGTTGGAAATTTCCTCAAAGACCTAGAAAAGGAGGAAAAGTAAAAATCTGGCAGCCTCTCCTTGGGAAGTGGGTGCCGTTCAGCCCGGGCCACTTCTGTTGCTGCAGGGCCTCTGTGGTGGACCTGGGAAGTAGAGGTGCTTCCCCTCGGTGACGCTGTGACTAACTGAGACATCAGGGTGAACAGGGAATAGTTCTCCCTGGGCACTCGGGGGGTGGCTTAATGCGGTGGCTTGCTCTCCTCCCATCTTCCACAACAGACTGGGCTCAGTCTCTGTTCCCAGCCACCATGTGTGGCACAAGGCCATAGACCTAATCTCTCTGGGGGAGGACAGCAAAGCTGGGAAGCTCCAGGAGCTCTGCATAGCCTTGTGTCACCAGTGCCTCTGTTCTTACATCCAGAGAAGTCTAGGTGCTCTGCACTGTCATCTGGCCACTCCTCTCCCCTTCAGACCCCTCTCACCTTATTTATCTTCTCTGATTTCAGAGTATTTTTCCCAGGTCCCTTTGCAAAGGAGCTGTCTCCATTCATGATTCTGGCAACAGTCTGATCTGGAAGGGACACAGCCTGATTATCTCCAGGCACAAGACCAAAGGTCTTGTGGAGGGAGAAAGCACAGAGGGGTGGCCACAAGTGTGGCCAGTTACTTGGCATCAAGTTCTACTTTTCCCCATTTTGGGCTTATTTGACTCTGAATAATGACATGGGGTGGGGGGATGTCAGGTGAGAACAAGTGGTTAGGAATGGCAAGTTTTCTGTGGGGACGAGCAAAGCAGCTTTGAGCCTCTGAGAGAAGGTGGCTGCTGTTGTTAGTAGCTCACTGGAGTTTATCTTAAATTGACAGAAAAAGCCAGGTATGGTGGCACTTGTAATTCCAGCACTCCGAGAGCTTGAGGCAGGAGTATCTCAAATTAAAGTTACTGAGACCCTATTTCTGCCACCCCGCCTCACCAAAAGCTCGGAATACAGCTCAGTGCTAAGGCTATGGGTTCAAATCCCATTTGGAATAAACAAACAAAAGAAAATTAAAGACCAAACCAAAACAAACAAACAAACATGCACAAAATCTAGGTATTCCAGCACTTGTGAGGTTGATGCAGGAGGATTGCATATTATCATCCCATATGGGCTACACAGTGACATCCTGTTTCAAAAACAAAACAAAACACCCTAAACAGCCCAAAACAACAAAACCCCCCAAATGAAGGAGAGCCATAAAGATATTTATTGGATAGCCCAGGCACAGGAGGAAAAACATTCCCTGTTATATCACTCACCTGTCAAAGGTGAGCCCAGACTGGGCAACTGAGTGACTCAGTGAGATCCTGTCTGAAAATTAAAACAAAGGGGGGTGGCGTTGGAGATGTAGCTCAGTGCAAACATACTGGGTTCAACCTCCAGTATATACAAACAAACAAACACATAAAGAGAGAGAGAGAGAGAGAGAGAGAGAGAGAGAGAGAGAGAGAGAGAGAGAAGGGCTAGGAATACAACACACTTAGATGGTACTGGATTCAATTCCAAATACCATTAACACACACACACAATAAAGAAAAACAAAAAGGAAAATTCATAGTTCAGTCTGAAGGCCCTGGGTTCAATTTTACAGGAAGCACACATATGGGTATGCACAAGCACACACACACATACACAAGTGTAAAAATAGAAAATAAAGCTGGGCGTGGTGGTGCACACCTGTAATCCCAGCACTCAGGAAGCAGGAGGCAGACGCAGAAGGATTGCAATGAGTTCCAGGCCAGCCTGGGCTACTTAGTGAGACACTATCTGAAAGAAAAAAAGAAAGAAAGAAAGAAAGAAAGACAGAAAGAAAGAAAATAGAAAAAATGAGGCTAGAGTTGTAGCTCTCTGTGAAAACCCTAGATACAGTCTCCACTAACACATGTACAGACAAAGAAAGAAGAGAAGAAGAGAAAAATGGGCCGTGGAAGTAGCTCGGTGACAAAGTCCTGGGTTCAATCTCCAGTACAAAAAAGTTACATAAAGAAAAGGAAAAACAAAAAAGGAGTGTGGCTATAGCGCGCGCGCACACACACACACACACACACACACACAGAGCATAGTAAAAGAAAGAAAAGAAAAAAGGACTAAGGCTGTAGCTCAGTGTGAAGAACGGGGGCACAATTTGCAGAGACACATGTGCACACATACACATACGCACACACACATTCATGATAGTAAAAGAAAGAAAAAGGGCCGGGGGTGTAGCTCAGTGGCACTGTGCCTGCCTAGCAAGCACAAGGTCCTGAGTTCGAACGCTGCTACCAAAAAAGAAAGAAAAGAAAAAGAGAGGCGGGACTGGGAATGTAGCTCAGCATGAAGGCCCTAGGATTAATTTTCAGTAACACACACACACACACACACACACACACACACGCTAATAAAAGAAAGGAGAGATAAGAAAAACAGGGCTGAAGACTTAGCTCAGTGTGAAGGCCCTGGGCACCACCACCAGGAAAAAAGAGGGGGAAAGAAGAAAGAAGAAGAAGAAGAAGAAAGAAAGAAGAAGAAGAAGAAAGAAAGAAAGAAGAAGAAGAAGAAGAAGAAGAAGAAGAAGAAGAAGAAGAAGAAGAAGAAGAAGAAGAAGAAAGAAAGGAAAACAAAAGGGGAAAAAATTGCTGGTGACACAGTTGGGGGTGAAGGACCTAAGTTAAATTTCTAGTAACACACATACACACACACACACACACACACACACACACACACACAAGAATAAAATAGAACATAAAAAAAATGGAGAACATAAAGAAAATGGGAAAAAAACCAAGCTGGAATGTAGCTCACAGCAAAATCTCTAGGTAAAATATCCAGTATCCTCTCATAAAAAGAGAGAAAGAAAGAAAAGATTGAATGAAAAAACAAGGAAAGCAAAGCAAATTTAAAAAATGGCTGTAGATGTAGCTTAGTGCAAAGGCCTTTGGTTCAATCTCCACACACACACACACACACACACACACACACACACGCGCGCACAGAGTATAATAAAAGAAAAACAGAAAAAAGGGGGGAAAGGGCTGGGGACATGACTCCGTGAGAAGGTCCTGGTCTCAGCTGCCACAGGACTGAAAAACTGACCTCACCCCTGACCAGAGGGGAGTAGTGGTCACTAGAGGCTGGGGTAGTCAGCGGGAGAGAGAGGAGAGAGGCTGGCTTGCAGGTGCGGAGATAGAGAGGAGTCAGTTCCCCGAGGGAGCGGTGGAGTTTCCAACAATTCCTTGTTTATTCACAAAGAAGAACCAGGAGAGAGGGTTAGAAGGCCACAAGCACATTATAAATGTTCAAGCATACGAAAAAATGCTCATCACTTTATTTGACGCAGTATGCATTGCATGCATGCACTGAATTTTCACACCGTACCCCATAAAAATGTGCATTATATCAAGTAAACTATTAAGCCGGCAGTGATGGCGCTCACTCCTATAACCCTAGCCCTCGGGAGGCGTCGTGAGTTTGAGGCCGGCCTGGACTACATAGTGAGTTCAAGGCCAGGCTGAACTACATTTGGAGCCCCTGTCTCACAAAATTAAAAGGAAAAAAAAAAGTCAGGATGAATTCCTGTTGGAAAAGCAGTGAAATGAGTGTACAGTTTTGTTTCTGAAGATAAAATTTATTTATGTAAAGTTAAATTCAGAATGAATTTAAATCCAGGTGCGGTCGTGGATGCCCGAAATCCCAGCGCTCCGAAAGGCAGAGGCAGTAGGCCCACAAATGTAAACCAGGCCTGGGCAATTTAGCGAGACTCTGACAAAATTTTGAAAAAGAGATGCGAGGTAGCTCGCTGCCAAGGCTCTGCGTGGAACCCTCAATACCGCCACGACCCGCCTCCCCCGAAACGCTTTTCATTCGGCCGGGCACAGTGGCACACGCGCGGATCCCGGCTACTCGAAAGGCGGCAAGAACACTCCAAGTTCCCAGCCAGCCTGGGCAAGGTACCAAGACCCTGTGTCAAAGTTAAGTGAAAACCTGGGCTGTGGCTCAGCGCGGAGCCTGCCTACCATGGGCGAGGACCCGGGTTCTCGGACTTGCCGGAGACACGCGGGTAACCCTGCGCGCGTGCGCGCTTTGTTAGTACATTTTGCCCGACTGGAGCTTGAATCGAGGGAGTGCTGCCCCACACCCCCAGCCCTTTTTATGGTTTTAAATTTTCATACAGGGTCTTGCTGACTTTCCTCTGCTTCTCGGCCGTGTTTGATCTCCTGCCTCATCTTGCCGAGTAGAGGCGATTACAGGTGGTAAAGGAGTCCCGTAGGGAGAGAGATTACTGCGAATGATCTCTGAGGAATTCTAGGAACACCTGACTGATTTTGGGGGTTTTCAGGCTAAAAAGAACTTTGCATCCACCAGGAACGGCAACTAAGAGGTCCCGAAGATCAAATATAGTTTTAGTACTGTCTCTGCTCCGAGTGGAGAGTCCCGAAAAGTTTAGGTTAACTCTCAGTCGCAAGGATTTTCAGGACCTCGGAAGCCACAAGGACTTGAGTCAACTACAGAGGCTCTTGGTTTTCTACCTGTTCCCCTTTCCCTTGTACCGGGTGTCCCTCATGGCACCTACCTCAGACAAGACGGGTTGGCACCGAAATGGCGAACTGGCGCTCCCCATCAAGAGAGAAAAGCCGGAGTTACTCAACTGCCCCATGACAATCAACAAATCAGGGGAGCTCATGTGAATTTGATGTAGCCAATGAGAGATTGGAAACTGGGTGGAGCTACTGAGGCCAAAAAGTGGCCCATTGGCTAGGCTCCAGGGCGTGAAAGTGAGGGCACCACTCTTAGTTTTCTTACTGAAAAGGCACTTTCACTCACCTCATTGGCTACTCCAGGATCACTTGACCTGTAAAAATGCATGTCCCTATTCATGCTCAGATTTTCTTTTTCCCAGTTCGGCCTCCATCTTCCTACCATCGCTTGTGCACTTATTAAATTTTTTTTTT